CGCTGGCAACGCCGATCTTCACAGATCTCTCACACAGCGCACATAACGCATGTGTCATCCTCTCGACAGGGCGAAGAGAGCGGCCACTCGACTCGACTCTGACCATGTGTCCATGTCTGTGTAAATATGCCAGCGGTGCAGATCTTCGCTCAGCTGCGATCCACCACAATTACTGCAACTCTATGTGCATGTGTGTGCGTGTCTGTGTGTGTGTGTGCGTGCTTGTGCTTGTGGCTTAGGCAATCTGTGGCCAGCCGCTTGCCGGCCTGCACTCGAGACAAATGTATATCATTCATCAAATTAAAAGTTCAACAGCGTTGCAGTTGCCAGTTGCCAGTTGCCTGCCAGTTGCCGTGAGGCAACAGCTAGCTGCGAGGGCAGCTCTAGAAGTATAGCAAGCTAATATGAGCAGAACTCAAGCGTTTTGTATATCATGTAGTTGGGAACCGTAGATACTTTAGCTTCAGAGAGTTTGAATATAATTTTTAAAAAATTTATTTCGATTAAATTTAAGAGAGAAATTTGTCAATTTGGAAAGCAAGATTTTTCATATATTATATATATATAATATTTCTGAATTAAAAGTTGTGAGACATAATGCAAATATTTTATTAGATATATGATAGATAAAGTATAGGTTAGATGATCTGAACAAGAGGCAACTCTGAGTTCGATGTTTAAGCTAGTTTATAGTTCTTGACTCACATGAATGTGGTATATATATAAACTTTTGCATTATTTATATAAACAATATTTACAATGTAATTCAGAACATATACATAAAATCTGAATCCATTTTCCATCGAAACTTCTAACCTAAAACGAGCTTAAAAGTAGCTAAAAAAAAGCTAAAAGTTGCATAGCTAAATTGCAGCTGAATAACGCTTTAAAACAGCTGTAGCAGCCCTCGCTTATGTCAGCATAACAAAACGACCGCAAGTCAGAGTATCTGACAGAGCAACTGTTGCTGCTGCTGCTGTTGTTGTTGTTGTTGCTGCTGTTGCATTTGACGTTGTTGCTGGCATTGCTCTATTTTACAGCCAGTCTTTGTTTGGAAAGAGCGAGGGGGAGGTGAGGTCTCTTTGGCTGCCAATCATTGCCCTCGCTGGCCTGACGTCTGTTGCTCATCTCATCTTTGGACTCCATTCACTCAAACATCAGACGAAGAGGCTTCTCGCACTAATTCTGCATGGCTCCCCCCTTTCCCGAATCCAATCCCTACGGTGGGCCACTTGTTGGCATTGCAAGCCAGCTGCAGACCCCAGGCCAATGCTTATTAAGAGGGCTTTTCAACTTGAATGGCTTCCTGAGCCACTTTAATACAATCTATGTGGACACACACACATGTGTGTGTGTGTGTGTGTGAGTATATATGTGAATTTAAAAGGCTGCAGGTCGAGCTGTTTGCCCTTTGGCTCCGCTTTTAGATTTGTCTTGGCTGTATTTTAAAATAGCATTTATGAGCTTAGACGGCTTAAGACATTTTATTGGTTATTAGTTTGTTGCCAGAATTTATGTGGCACCAAAAGTTTGCCGTTCGAATCCCCCCAGTTGAGACTTGAGAAATCAGAGCATCTAATGAGCTTAGCACGTGTTGGTCATCCATTTCAGATGTTGCTGCTGCTGCTGCTGTTGCTCCTTGTGTCCTGTTTAGTTATCCAGTCGAAGTTCGTTCGCTTCGTGCTGTTGTTGTTTTTGTTGCTATTGTGCTGAGACTTTAATCTTTAATTGCTTTTCGGGTTGTGTGCAGGCGTTTCACTGTTGGTTTTAGTATTTATAATGCCAATTTGAAAATGTGGTCAAGAGCGCATGTCTAATATGCCACAAGAGAGGCAGACTTCAATTAAATTTTATATTTCATTTAAATATTAAAAAAAAAATTTGTATATATAACTTAACCTGAGCAAAGTTTCATTTAAATAAATATTTTTAAAATATTTATTTTTCATTGAAATAAATGTTATTAAAGTATTTTTTAAAATATCTTAAATTTTTAGTTCCAAATTTTAGGCAATATCCAAATCATAAAAAAGCACTTTTATGTACCATTCCTTGCTTTAGATTTCCACAACATTTACCAAAAAAAGTCTAGAAAAACTTTTGCGTACCTAACAACAATTTCCATTAGCAAATGCAACCGCAATGTGCCACAAAAAGCTGCTCAAAAGTTCTCTGTCGTTTTTATTTGGTACGTTTCCGAGTTGCAGGCAGACTGGTTCGCTCTACTAATTTCTCGTCTAATAATTTGCACTTAAATGTTAGCTGAACTCTGTGCTCAGGTCTCAGTTACTTTCATAGAAAATTCCCTTTCATAAACAAATTTTCGATTGGGCAAAGCGCAGAGCGGACGACGAAATCCACTCAAGGGGGGCAATCGGGATATGGCTGGCTGCAAGGGGCGTGGCTGGCTTAAATTACGTGCTCTGCACAATAGTTCAATAACGGATACGGCCACAAAAAAAAACAAAGCAAAAAAAAACTAGAGAAATAAAAAGCCACAGACAGGCATCCAACAGATACGCGCCGGCATGTTGAAATATTGCAGAAATACTGAGAGATACTTTCAGAGTCAGCTTGTGGAGAAAACCAAGTTAAGGCCAGGCCAACAACAACAACAGCAGTAACAACAATAGCTAGACTTTTTATTTACATTGTATATGGCACACACGACTACTGCTAACTACGACAAATACTGGAGCACAGGAAAGGCACACACTGAAAATATTTCCCGTAGCGCTTACGGCTTTTTTGGCCTGACACTCGACATAAGTTATTATTTGCTCTGGCTATAAGCAGTTGGTAGGCGTGGGGGTGGGGGAGGCCAGTTCCTGCCACACAGTGTCCAGGATGTACAGCTCCAGTTTGCTAGTCAATTGTGCTGTGGCCCCTCGCTCACTTGTTGTTGTTGTTGCTGTTGTTGTCTTTTGGCTGTCTTGACTGTCTTTCTGACTCTGCCGTATCTGTCGCTGAGTCTCTGTTTCTGTCGCCCGCCTTTCAATACAACTTTCATGGGCCAACGCTTGCAATTGGCGAGGGTGGCCTGAGAAGTTACGCATATATACAGTAAAATATGATGTTAGTGGAAGAAAAGTAGATTTTTTTTTGCATTTAATATAGCTTGTATAGATATAAAATAGATATTAGTCAGATATATATCGATAAGTATCGATAAATTGATGCAAAAATAAATTATAATAATCACAGAAGGAACTTATTATTACATACAGAACTATTTGCTGTCTAACTATATATTCAAGTTAAGTTATTATACTATTTTGTGTAAAGACTATAGATAAACTGAAACTGAAATAAGAGTTCAATTCTTTCGTATAATAAGAAAAAAAAATTATGTTTAATTCAGATTTCTAGCTAGATTTTCAGTCTATATTTTCTAATTCAACTGATTTTTATATTTAATATAATTTAATTCAGCTCATTGCTTCACTTATCTCCCATTTGACATCGAACCAACTGTCAAGCAACTCTCGCTCTGGTCTCACATTGTTTTGTTTTGCTATTTGCTGCTGGCTTTTGTTTGGCACTCCTTGGCTGGTAAATAATGGTTAGTTTTTGATTTCAAACAATAATTCAATGGCATAGCAGAGCAAAGCAAAGCAATGCGCCAACTGGGGTAGAAAAGTATCTTCGAGCTGGTCGCATCCATTGGCGGGGCAAGCAGTCAATTTGGTGGCGCTTTGCTGACCATTTTTGGGTGGCCACGCAGTTCGAAGCGTTGCGACGCCTCCTCGAGATACTCTCGAGAAGCCGCACGCGTTCCTCTTCTCACTATTGTTGTTGCTGTTGCTGTGCCCATAAAAAGTAAGACAAGTTCCAGAGCGACGCGTTGCCAGGCTGTCGCTACAGTCGCCTCTTGGCCTGGCCTGGGCCTGTCAGCTGAAGCTGTTAGATACAATTACAGTTAGCTGCTACAACAGACGAGACATACTGTAGCTACAGCTACGTAGTGTCGAGACTTTGGCGGCACTTCTCTCTGTGGCTTTTGATGTTCAAGCTGCCCCTCCGGCTTTCTAGCAAAACTCATGTGCGGTCCTCCATCTGCAATTTCTCTATTCTCACTCACTCTACGTGTGTGTGTGTGTGTGTTTATTTCATCTGATATGAGCTGTCTGTAAGACGAGACACACTGCAAGTCAATGCCAGATTTTATTGTTTCAAATGTAAGATTTCTGCTTTGATTCGCTTATCGTGCTTAGCCTGCATCTGTATCTCAATCTGCATGTGCTTTGTTTAACCAACTGCAGATACGTTGAGTCAATTTCTGCCTGCCTTCTGGCATCGCACACAAATACCTGAGCTGTGTGAATCATCAGATACGTTTCGCTTTGGTAACTGCGCATTAAACTGCGACAAGTGTTTTTGGTCTGTGGCAAATTGCATAATTGCTATGTGCCGTGGTCAGTCCATCGATAATCGCCCCAATGATTCATCATCGTTGGTGTGCACACTTTACAGTTCTCAACTCTCTGATCTGACCTTAGAGATATATGCAAACTGTGTGGCCAAAGTTGAAGGCAGCTCAAAGCATTGACTGAGCCATCGATTGCATCAGTTCTGTTAGAGCGTTGGAAAGTTTTGTTTCATATTAGATGAAAAATATGAAAATTATTACTTGATTTCAGTTTTTAGCAGTGTGCAGGGTATCTCCTAGTCGCGCACTCTCTATTAGAGCAGTTTCAGCTGCTAACTTTTATGTATAAATAGATATTTAGTCTCATTCAGCTGCTAACTTTTATGTATAAATAGATATTTAGTCTCATTCGTAGCGCTTTTAAGTTGCATTTGAATATAGAGAAGCCAGCCCAACTGTAATCAGTGCCTTTCTATGTGATTCTCATTGATTCTAATATAACTTTTAGCCTTTTATGCTTGACTAACAAGTTAGATATTGAGGATTTGTATTATAAACTTAATTAATTATAAATCAGCTCTATTTTTCTAACACTTTTACTAATCTATAAACTTTTTTTTTTGACTTACAGCAATATGCGTTTGTAAAAGACAGCTTCCTCCAACTAATTGATGGCAATTCTTTTGTTTGACTGTGCATTTTTGGGTAAGTGTTGATTAAAGACGTTGTGTGTATGGCTTATGGAATCATTGGAATTTTCTCACGCAAAAATTGCATACTTAAAAACCAGACAGAAACATCAACATTAATGAAAATTAAAAGCTCTGAGCTGGCACGAAATTAACTTTATTCAATCAACGCTTTTTCCACGCGAATTCACTTCCCAGTGAAACTGAAATAATATTTATGTCATTTTGCTTGTTGACACAAGCCGAAAACGAATGTGCCTCAATTTCATTTAAAGCGCAGATATTTACATGAGAACTGAAATGGAATCGCTGTTAATCGCCTTAAGGGCTGGCAAATATTGTCAAAGGCAACAGTTCTTAACTTGAGCCTGCACAAAATCAATTGATTTCTTATTTATAAAGTGAATGTGAATGTGAATGTGAATGCCACACGTTTCTCATATGACGAGTGTACACTAGGAGGGGGCTGTTGCTAGCTGCTGCTAGAGTAGTAAGTTTTGGGAAGCCAGAGCCAGCACCTTCTAAGCTCTAGACAAACAAGACGCAGCTAAGGCAGGAAAATGCCTCGATGGGAGAAGTAAACAAACAAGACCATAAATAAATTATTTACATTGGCCCAACGACTTGGCGGAGGAGTCGCAGCACAGAAACTAGGTAGTCAGTCTCTGCCGCCTCAAGTTTTGGGGAGGTGGTAAATATTCTTTATTTTTTTGCAAAATCAACAAAACTGAAATGACAAAAAGGCATTCGGCCGGCAAAAGCTGACAATGGCATAAGACTTGGCCAACTTGGCCGACTTGGGCGACATGGGACGTGGCGCATTATCAAGGCAAACAGAGGCATAATGGACGCGCATAATGGAGCAACCAGGAGGACAACAAAAACTCAGACTTAAATTGAACAACTAATAGTGGAAGCAGCAGCAGCAGCAGCAGCAGCACAAAAAAAAGGCAGCAAAGGGCGATGTGTGTGGTCCGCTAGCGAAATTAAATGAGCCAAGGAAATGGACTTGAGCTGGCTTTGCGAATAGAACAGAGGGAATAGCTAGTGTGCTCGAATAGGGCTGGCTCATTGTGTTAATAAATAAATAAATAACCGCAACGATTTGACTTACGGGCTTATAGACAAAAAAACTACGTACAACCGCTATAAATACATCACAGTGGGCGTGGCCGTGTGCTTAAATGCTTAATGTGGCGGGCTTTAAGCCAACCCCAAGCTGAATGTTAAAGCTAATGCAACTGCGATGATTTGCATTTGTGCGGATTATAGAACAAATTGATATAGGAAATGCGCAATTTGTTCAAGCATCCGTAATGGGGGTTATCCAAAAGATATATTGCATTTTTTCTTATAGCTAAAAACTAATTTAAATTAAAATAATGCACGATAACAGTAATGCTAATGCTAATGATATATAGCTATTAAAATAATTGCTGAATAAATTGAGAATAAAGTTTTTAGTTCACGCTAGAAAAGCAGTTATATTTTAACTTTAATTTTAAAGCAAAAAGTGGGAATTGTGCGCAGTGAAGAGGGAGAGAGAGAGAGAAAGTTAAAAAGAGTGAGAGAGTATGAGAGACACAGATAGACAGGGAAACAAAGAAAGAGAGAGAGAGAGTGGGAGCGTGAGAGCGAGATATTTATCTGTACTTATATAATATGCCAAGACTCTTATATATATATATATAGCTTCAATAGCACAATAAATAATTCTATCAATACTCCAGACGCAGTGAAAGTATAGCTAATATCTATAGACTCTATAGGAACAGTGTGCAGCCACGCAGACTCCTTTCTCTTGCTATGCAAATTGAATAACTTACTGCAAATTATAAGCTTATGTGAGAAATTGTTAACAAATTAAATCAAAAATAGTAAAAGCGCTGATTAGTTTGAAATTTATAAAATATATTTCAAGCGGTTCATTATCGCATTTTCCGTCTCTGTTCTTGCCCCGAAGGCGGCTCAATGCGCATCAACAGCCAATTAACCTTTAAAATAAATTAAAAAATAAAAAATAAATAAACAAAAAGCATTTGTGTTATCAATGGCAGCTTTTTTAATCATAGTTCACATATGCATGTATATATATATATATATATATATATATATATATATATATATATATATATATATATATATATATATATTAGTATTATAATATATGTATATATTTGCATAAGATAATTACGCTAAACGTTATGCGCATTTATTTCCCATTGATTTTGCATTTTTTATGTGAAATTGTTTAACAACAACAAAAAAATAAATAAATAAAATATATAGAAATGCATTTTGGGTTTTCTTTGAATGCTGCTGGCTGTTTATTAAATATGCAAATCGTTTCGAGCTTAAAACTTAAATATGCAGCTTACAAAAGATCGAACTAGTTAGTCAGCAAAACATTTGTTAAAAGCGACCGAAATTTTTGCATAATGCGCCAAAAACCTTTTCGGACTGACTGACTTTTGTTTTATTTTTTATTTATTTATCGCTTTTTTTAATTTACCCTGTCAGCTCGATTTTATGGCCATAATAAATGAGTTCGATCCGGTGCTGTGACCCTAATGAGCTGCACTCGCTTAGGACAACTCAAACACCTCTCGGCCCCTTCGAGCGCATCAAATCAAATTTGAATACTGAGCTGCAGCCAGCTGTAGCTGCCAACAGACGTTAACAAATTTCCGATTATGTCATTAGCTACCCTCCGCTACACGCCCCAGCTGACCCAATTTGATTGAAATTGCATTTTATAGCTATAACAAAACAAAACATGTTTTGCCGTATTTTCGCCTGCAATCGGATATATTTTGCCTCAATTATTATTTAATTGCACTTTCAATTTTGCAATCTGTGCCACACACACACACACACACAGCTCAATTTGTCAAAGTATTTTCGTGTTTGGGGAATTGCTCAGCTGCTCGTAACTTAAGCATATGTATTTGATTTGATATTCAATTTAGCTACGCAAAAGTCGAGACTCTGACGGATTAAGGTTGCCCGCCTCACGTAGAAAGTGAATTGAAGGCTCAAGGCCAAGTGGTCTTTGCCTGTGCATACTTAAGTTCATTTATTATATAGCTTAAATCATGCATTAAAATTATGGATTTTCTTTAAGGAACTTTATGGCTCGCATTAAATGAAGAAAAGTATGTTTACCTAAGCTCGATAAGCATATATGCATATATATATATATATATAGTAGAAAAGTGAGAGTAAAAAAAATTGTAGGAAGCTTAGAAAACACTAGAAGTTAAGAGTAGAGAAGAGAAAAGCAAAGAAAATATAAGATTACAATAATACTCTCTTTCATCTATAGCAAAAAGTATTTGCCCGATCCACAACAATACACAAAATATATACAAGTCTCTTAATTGCTTCAATATATTATTGCTCGCAATAATTTATTCTCGTATAAACCAGTTTTAGTATCAATCAACTATCAAACTCTTCCACACTTTGTTACTTTTTCCATTTTTCCAAATATCTAACCTCTAAAGTATTTAAAAAATATCAAACTTTATTTATTACCTAAAGCCACTAATTTCATAAATTATTTAGTTACGTCTTGCCGCCTATCTGCCAGCCATCGTATCGCATTGCCTTTTAGTTGAAAACAAATCGGTATAAATTACCTAAGACTTGAAAAATTTATGCACGCACTTTTTGAACTTAAAAGCGTTTTGTGTGCTCTTTTTCGATGCGGTGCGATGCGACCCCCCGTCCACTGGGGCTCTGGGTGTGCGTATTCCCCAAGTTTGTTTACATTTTGGATGGTTTGTTGTAATTGCTGAGCGTAATTTATGCCAACGCCGGGCCAAAGTCAATGTCGAGCCCAGCAACAAAGGCGAACCAAAAGCGAAGCGAAACCACCAAGTGCAAACACACACAGAAAGCCGACATAGACGACACGGAAAACCGTTTATCTGAGCAAATGTATCTCAAGGCAGTAATTACAATTTACTGCTGGTAATTATGTAATTTCAGATGCGACAGATATAGTTGACAAACCAAGTGCGTGTAGCAGCCAATTGCCGTATGAGTCGAGTGCGTGTCTAGGTCAATGGCTGTTGCATGCATCTAACCCACTGTCATTTTCAAGCGTGCGCATTTAAATGAGTCTGAAAGCTGAAAAAGAATGCACAGTTGAGCAGCTGCTGCCACGTTTATTGACAGCTTGTTAGTAGTAGCTGGAGTAGGAGCAGTAGCTGGGGGAGTAGGCGGATGTGAGGCTGCCACATTGCATGCTGCATGCAAGCAGCTATGATTGGTATTTCAGGTACTTCTCTCAGCAGTTCGCTGGCTGAGCCGCTGAGCTCTTAACTGGCAACGTTTACTTTTTTCAAGCTTTGCTTGATTGCCTGCACTTGGCGCGTTTGTTAGTCAACGGGGAATGTTGTCATTTCCGCTGCACGGCCATCCATTGTGACTTACTCTTATGTCAACTTTAGCGCGTAATACACGCATTTCCGCTAGCCCAGCCACAGATTGAGAGATTTTGTAGAAGAGAACAGAGTAAGCTAGATCTTGCTACCTGACGCCTGTTCATTAATTGTAGCCCACTAAAAAGCCGTTTATTTTCAATTTAATTCTATCCAAAATACATTACTTATAGCTGCCAGCCGAGCAGCCCTCAAATTAAGTATTTCCGTTTGGGAAAAAATTTCAAATTGTAATTTAATTTGCGCGCAAACAAAGCAAAAATACAGACCAAAAAGAAGAGTTGAAAACGCAGCTTCATCAACAGCATTAGTTTGCACATATTCAAATGAACTTCAGTTTTTTTGCTGATTGAAAAAATATCATTAAAATAAAAACAAGCCAAGTGTTGGGAGCAGCAACAAAAAGACAGGAAATACGTTTGGCTAACTGTGCAGACAGAGAAGAAAACTGAAGCTGGAAATCATTGTTGCGACCCGCTGGATCATTAACATACATTTGAAAACGCAAATTCCTGTGCTGCGATGACTGTGTGCCTTCGCTGTGTGTCTCCATGTCTTTCCATCCCCT